AGGACTGTGGTCATCCAGGGCCTGCTGGGAGGCTCACTGGGCATGCTGACAGTCACACGTGATTTCCATAGCTGCCAGTGCTGAGCAAGGTTTGTTGATAAAAGTGTTTAGAGACCTTTCTCAGAACCAGTTGTCCTAACAAAAGTAATTTCAGTATTATTAAAACTCCCCGAATTCCTTGTTACTCTTTTCTTTTTTCTTTTCTTTGGCTTTTTTTTAAAATAACAATTACTATTGCAAAATATTCTGGAGACTGGTAGGGAAGCATACGCTGTCCATGCTCTGACCCTCCGCAGGCGTTCCTGGTGCGGGTGGCTGAGGCAGCCCGGGGCGATGGTAGAGCTGAGGAGTGCAGCTTTTGTTCAAATCAGCATTTTTTCAGATTGGGTTTGTGGGTGACAGTGATGCAGGCCAGCGGTTCCGGTTCAGGGTTCATCTCTACACCTGCACTGGGTCCTCTTTCACTGCTGTGTGGGCACTTTTATAGTCAGCTTGTCAAAGAAGATGTAATAATTAACGGGAATAAACTTAAGCGTCGCACTGAGAGGAAGAGGGGTTGTAACAACCCTTGGCTGCGATGCAGAAAGTATGCAATGAAAAGCAACAGTGCCTGGTCATTTCTCCCTTCCTACATAGTAGGGATGTCAAATTTTAAGTAGTAAAACCTCAGGGGTAAGTGAGAAGCTGTGTGAAGAGTTATGAGCAAGGATCTCATAAATAAACCCGACCTATCATAATCCCACACAGTCTGTCTTGCCTAAACTTACATCAAAGATGCCAAAAGCCACAGGAAGATGGGAAATCAGCCCATCCTTGTAAGTGCAGGCACTGGTTTCCAGAAAAGGTTCCCAGAAAGCAATTAGTGAGGCTGGATTTCTACAGTCAAGGAAGAGCGAGTCCTGTAGGAGAAGGCAAGACTCTAAGGGAGCTAGACTAAAGGTCCATATCAGTCAGCATCTTCTCCAAGAGTAATTATTGGTAAATACTCCAGGAAAATTTAAGAGCCATAGGCAAAGGAGATTCTCCTCCTAAGTCCCTGCTTACCTTTTGGCAGTAACCCCTCAAAGGAGTGCCTGAACCCCAACACACCTGTTTCCAAGCCACTGATGGATTTATCACCTCTGAGATTGCTCAGTCTCTTTTGGGCCCATTTAGTTCCTGGCTTTGGGGAGTTTGGAGTGCACACTGAGTTCCATGGTTCAGTGGTGCTTCATGCCTCCACCGATGTGAAACCTGTTAGCTGGCTGTGGCCAGGCGCACAGGCTGGCACCTCGCTGGCATGGGCAGCCAGGTGATTATCAACCAGGAGCTGTGTGCCACTCACCAGGGAAGGTCTTGAGCTCTGAAACTTGGCTAGACAAGGGAAAATAGAGTCGCTGCACCTCCAGGAGTACTCATCAACAGTTGAGGATGCTGAGGAGTGGAGCGGAGCTGCTCCAGGACCCAAAGCAGGTTATAAAGCAAGGCAGAAAGGGGCAAATATACAGGGTTTTGGGGCAGCGAGACTGGCTGGCTCCTGAGGACCACTGCATGCTGCTGGGAGAGTGGCAGCCTTGGATGCTCCCGAACCTGTCTGCAGCAGCAGGTCATGCTGGCAGGTACAGGGGCTGAGGAGCACCAGCTAGGGAGGGATGGGTTGGAGGCCTCCGGTCACTAGGGGCACAAAATTCCCCAGGATACAGGTGGCTTCTCTTCCCACGCTTCTCCCAGCCTAGGCATCAGAGCCCAAACAATTTTTGGAGTCATAGAATCATAGAATGGGTTGAGTTGGAAAGGACCTTCAAAGACCATCTTGTCAAAAATTAGTCATCATACCAAAGGTTGGTGATTTTTTAGTACTCATCTCAGTCTTGGTTCTCTGTGTGTGGCAGTTAGTCTTCAATTAGCTGTCCCAGGGGGTTATGTTACATCTTGTGTGCGTAGTTTATAGCCTGACGAGGGTGTCCAGCAGCGATATTGATGACACAGGTTACATTATTTCCAAATGCACATAGGTGCCTCTCTCCTCTGACTCTGCACCCCGGAGATGGCAGCACCCAAGGTCGCAGTGGTTGGCGCAGGAGTCATCGGCCTGTCCACAGCACTGTGCATCATGGAGACTTGCCCCAGCTGCTCCGTGACCATCCTTTCAGACCAGTTCAGCCCCAACACAACGAGCGATGTTGCAGCCGGGATGCTCATCCCTCACACCTATCCAGGTGCGTGCAACCCGGCATGGCATTGCCCACGGCACCGCATGCACCTGCGTGCCCGGGTGTGCAGTGATGCACGGAGGTTCAGGAAGAAAAGTACCATGCCCTGCCTTCCCCCTCTGTCCCGTCTCCTTGTGCTGGCTTGTACACTCTTCTTTGTGTTTTCCCTCTCTGCATGTTTGGTTTTGTTTACATGCAGGCACACCGATCCACGTGCAGAAGCAGTGGTTCAAAGAGACCTTCGCTTACCTTTTTGCCATCAGCAACTCAGCCGAGGCATCAGAGGCTGGCATTCACCTGGTCTCTGGGTAAGAGCAGCCTTTGGAATGCATGTGCTGTGTGCTGGGGCAAACAGAGGTTTTTCTTGCTGGAGTTCAGGCATATTCCTGGCTTAGCTTTTATGACCATCTTTCCCAGAAACTGCATTGCAGCTGCTCAGGAAGGACATATTTTCAAGCAAAATTCATGCATACGTGTGCACAGAGAAACCACTCAAGACTGACCTGCCCTAAAAGTCTTTGAATAATTTCCATACTGCCATGCACCAGTTGCTTGCAGCAGGGATAGTCCTCATAGGCATGGGACTGCAGGATCTTCCAACTTCAGCAACTAGGTATAGGGATGCAATTGGAGTGTTTGTGCGTTGGGGGTATTTTATGCTGCCCACGATCTACACAGAAATTCACCTTTTGGGAAGGTTGAGGCTAAGCACTCTGTAGCTTTATGTCTACCCAAAAAAATGTCACCAGGTGTGCAAGTGGCCCCACATGAAGGTCCAGCCAGGGTGGCTGCAGCCATGATGGGGACACTGTAGGAGGGGACTTTGTACTTCTACAGAAGTTCATACAGTATATCTGGAAGAACTCTCTCCAGTTTAGTTCCCCGAGTGTCACCCTCAGGCTTGGCTGCGGCAGTCCTCCGCATGTTTGCCAAGGTGCGTGTTGCAGTAGCAGGCAGCAATGTTTCCCTGTTGCTTTTAACCTTGCAGAGCTGCACTGATGAGCCGAATGTTCCTGAGTTCTTGGGTTTGTGCTAAGATTGTCATGACATGTGACGTGGAGCAATAGCGGCTATGTTTTGCAGCTTTTTATCTGTGTCCTTTTAGCTGGCAGGTCTTTAAAAACACTCCCGAGGAAGAGTTACCTTTCTGGTCAGACGTTGTCCTGGGATTTCGACTGATGTCTGAAGCAGAACTCCAAAAGTTTCCGCAGCACCGATTTGGTCAGGCCTTTATGACACTGAAATGTGACTGTCCACCCTACCTGCTGTGGCTGGAGAAAAGGTTGGTTTTCCTGCAGGCTGGGCATGCAGGGAGGAACCCAGGCGGAGGAACTTGGGGGGAGCTGGGGACTCCTTGAGAGCCTTAGCTTTGAGCAAAACTGGAAAAGGGCTGTTTCTCGCTGGGGAAAATGCGGCAAGCTATTCCTTTGGGAAGAGCACTAGGAATGAATAACCAATCTTTCCAAAATGTAAAAGGCCCCATCTACGCAATGTCCACTTTCTAACACTGTGGCTGTACAGGTCTTAAAGTGGGAGAGCTTCTGGTACAGGACCGACATGGCCACAGGGGCCACACTTGGACAACCAGACCTTGAAAGTACATTGGGAACCTTTCCTGTCCTAAGAAAAAGTGCAGGTGCTTCTCATTTGCCAGACTTCCCAAATATATCCCTCTGTTCTCGAAGATAAATCCAACCCCTGGGAGAATACGCATGTCTGGGAAGGTGTCTTATTTGTGAAGACTTTGCACTTATGAATTAGCTGAACTGATTCATCTCAAATTTGGTCAACAACCGGAGTAATTTCTTAATCAAATAATATCATCTTGTAACAAACCTTTTGGAAACATTTGTCTGCATAAGATGGGTGATGCACTCACTCTGAGGAGTCATGGCTTCAGAATTCATGCCTGGATTGACATGAAAGTTAGATAATTGGGCAATTTCCAAATTTCCAAGTTTCCCCAAAATACGTGGATTTCGGAGAACCATAGGAGAGGCAGGATGCAGAACTAAAAAGGTTCTGCCACCGGGGATGTACATTTAATCAATTTAAGTACCCCTAAAATGAGCAAATAGCTGTCTACACTTGAGAGAAAGTAATAGGCTGCAAGCTGATTTGAGGTTAAGTAAAGAGACGTGTACCGACACCGTGATACAAATTGCCAGCTCAGCCAGTTGCTTGGATGCCTTTCATTTCACTGCAAAATGTGAAAAAACGTTTCTTGTTCTAGCAGCCAGCCAGGCTGGCAGTACTCCAGTGGCACCAGTGCCACGTGAGGTCTGTGCCGCCTCCTCGGTGCACACGCGCTGTCATGTTTCATTGCGTAACCGAATCAGAGATTTCTCCTGAAGCACAACTGAGATGTTCAACCCATTTGGTATCTGCCACGTGATTTCTGCTTTCTCCTTATTCCTGCCTTCTTATTTCTCAAAGGATGTAGTCTAATAAGATGATCATGCTCCTTTTCTTTCTCTTCACTCTGGTGATGAGAAATGAGAGCATATTAAACATGTAACTAATTCTCAAACCCCTAGTGACCTGAGCAGTATTTATAGACCATTTTTGTCAATCCACAAGGAAAATTGTGTTTGTGCCCACCTTGCTGGTCCAAAAATGGACTTCAGGAATTTTTCCTGCTTGCTTACCTGAATTCAGGAGTTTTCAGCAGGTTTTTTTATTGGTGTATTTTTATAGCATGATGGCAGAGTCCTAATTACAATCCTTATGAGCTCTCCCAGCAATTTGCCCAGCCAGAGCTGCTGCATGAGATGCCCCCTCTTCTTCTTCGTAGCAAGCCTCACTGTCCTGCAGCACCCAAACCCCAGTCCCCAGAGCACCAGCAAGTCTCCTGACTTGCTAAAACCCCCATACAAGACCCCCAGTAACTGGATCCAGCTGACAGCATGCAGTGACTCCATCTCACACCAACGTTTTTCCATGGGGAAGGGTTTCAAGCTCCAGGCAAGTTCAGGGTGGAAATTGGCTTGAAACTGAGCTCAAAGATGAACCTCGAGAAGGGGTGAATTTTACTGAAGAGCAGACATGGATTTATAGTGCTCTGAGCTGTCCTGGGTGACTCCTGGCTGCTGGTCTAGAAGGGTCTCCTGGGTGTCCCAGGCCACAACTGCCCGGCCTGTGGGGACGTCCTGGGTACCCCAGGGCTTCGCACGTGGCACTAGATGACTAAGTGGCTCCTGGTGTCGGGGGGGTGAATTGGGAATGAATGCAACGGTGTGTAATAGGCACATTAAAAGGGGTGTAGAATGATAGCAATGTCACTAGAAGTCACTAGTAGTTGAATAAATCTGACATTTTTCAGCTTGCTTGAGCTGTTAAAGCTTTGTACGGTTATAGCAATGAAACAATGAGACCATGAGGACCTTTCTGTCTGTCTAGGGTCTTATGCCAGACCCTTCTTTAATATGAATCAACTCGCTGTATCTTTCCAGCCCAAACAAGCTAAAAAATAGCTTTGATAAGACCAAATCAGACAAACAGAAACCCCATGGCACGTTCTTTGCTTTTTGTCCCATCTGTTGTTTGGTTTTGATTGGTATGTTAAAGGCAATCTATCTCATTTACTTAATGTGCATAATAATTACATGAGGATTTAAGGGGTTCTTTTCTGCCTCACTTCTGGAGTCTTTTTGCAGGTTGAAAGCAACTGGTGTCCAGATGTACACCAGAAAAGTTGCAGACTTGTGGGAGCTGCACAGCGAATATAACGTTGTCGTCAACTGCGCGGGCATTGGAGCCCAACAGCTGGTGGGGGATAAGAAGCTCTTCCCCGTCAGGGGACAAGTACTCAAGGTTCGTGCTCCTTGGCTGAAAAACTTCATCCGGGATGGAGATGGTTTAACTTACATCTACCCGGGGATACACAGGGTAACCCTAGGGGGAACCAGGGAGAAGGAAAGCTGGAGTCTCTCCCCTGATCCTGGCACTACCAAAGACATCTTTGACAGATGCTGCTCCCTTGAACCCTCACTGCGGGGAGCTCAGGATATCAAGGTGAAGGTGGGCCTGAGGCCATCCAGGTGGTGCGTGAGACTGCAGAGAGAGGTGTTGAGCCAAGGAGGACTTAAGCTCCCGGTGGTCCACAATTATGGGCATGGGGCAGGTGGCTTTTCGATGCACAGGGGCACAGCCAAAGAGGCTGCTCGCCTGGTAGGAGAGTGCATTGCTGCTTTGCAAGGCTCCTCATCAAGGGCCAAGCTTTGAATCCCAGAGGCTCCTTTTCCATTTACAACAGGCTGACATTGTATCCTAGTAAGAGCTTTGGACTTTTATTCCATTACTAGATAGAAGGACGCTAAGACAACAGCTTGTGCCATTGCAGATGCTCAGTGGTATCTCACCAGCTTCCAGCTGCCACCTTGGAAAGTCATGATGGGTTGATCCAAGTATTAGTCCAGCTGTCCTTCTCCATCTGGCATTGTTTCTGCCCTGGGCATTTCTCCTAGCCTCATGTTAAGAAGAAGGCAAGATATGTAGATACTCTTCACGTAACAGGGATCAGATTGCTGCAGTATAATATCAATAACATAAATTTAGCATTTCTTCATCTAAAGGGTATTGGATGCACTAGGTTCAGATTCAGTAAAAACTAGTTCTCTCCTCTTGCACCAAATCGAACCTAGTATTGCCCTTGGTCCTGCCATCTTGCTAAAAAACTTTACCATTTTCCCTGTGGTTTACAAGGAAAAGAAAACCCTGTACAGTGCTGCATTACAGTGCTCCAGGTCAGCTCTTACAGAAAGCAATGTCAGGTCACTGTCATGCACAGTGACCAGGCAAGCATGATTTTAAGAGCAGGTCTGTTACACTGATCACCGCATTTGCTCATATTGCACCTCAGGGAACTTTGTGTTAAGTTTCTGCAAGAGGAGGTTGCCCTGTATGAGCTACAGTTTTGTGCACCTTTTCTCACACTTGTTTGCAAATCTCCTTTTTTTTTTTCCTCCGAGCCCCTCAGAATTTGATCTCAGACACAGATGACTTTTCCCCCCCAATAGCAGCGTTTGACATGGCCTGTGTTCCACAGAAGAGGATTTTTCAGGGTGGGCTTGGGAGTGCAAACATCTCTCTTCTACATTGCATCAGCGCTAGCTGCTTTCCTTGCAACAGCTGATATGGATAAATCGGTGACAAACCAACAAGGATCTTAACACCAGCTTCAGTTTCATAAGGGAGAGAAGAGCCATTTAAGACTAGATAAACACTCTAAAGACAAATTTGTCTGTAACTGGACATGAGCGAGCTCCTCTGCCGCCGTGAGGAAGCTGAGCCACCGGCGTCCAGACCCTCACCCCATGGCAGAGGCTGAGCTGGGCCTTATACTCCCCTCAGCAATTCAAGCCCTTTGATGTGGCTGAAGATAGTCGCTCCCCAAAATCAGAGCTTACCATCAAAGTACAGGTCTGACTGTTAGTGATTAAACCACTCATTAGATCCTAAAAGGCTCATTCAAGAGCGTTAGCATCCACTTTTGACTAGGTTTTTTATACTTACAAAATAAATCAAAATCCTTCAAGAATTCACATGATTAAAATTAACTGATAAATAAAGTTCTAATAATGGAGCAAAGGTCACTTTTGTAGTGTTTCCTTTCATAAACAAAGGGGTTTCTTTCATTTGGGATGGCCTGACAGGGCCAGGAAAGGCCACATTCAGACATGGCTGCCAAGTCCTGCTGTTGTCACAGGGGATGAGGACAGTTATCCTTCACAAGGGACAGCGGTCAAAAGAAACCTCATCAAATTAAAAGGTCAATTAGCGCCTGGGATCAGCCTAAGCTAGCCCTGCCTTCAGCAGTCTTGCCCTCTTCTCCTCAGCTCTGGAGGCTAATTTTGCACTCCCTCCACATCATTTGTCCTTTCCAGTGGTACGAGAGGGCAGAGCTGCTGGTTTTGGCAGCAGTGTTGGTGTAGGGCTTGTCAAGCTGCAGCTTTGTCCTCAGCTAACATGGAACAAAAAAATACATGGAAAAAGAACATGAGAGTGGACTATTTTTTTCTTAATCTTGATTTTAAGCTTAAAAAGTAACAAACATTTGTAGCTTATCCTGGAGCAAGAAACACTACTAATGCTAATGGTGTGCTCACAGCCCCATGAGAAACCAGAGATCTGGTTGTGCACTTCTGCTCTGCAGGGTGGCAGGGTTTGTTCTAGTTTACTTCTAAGAGTTGTCTGGTTGATAAAAATGTCAAAATAGGTTCAACAGCAAGGCCCATCAGTCTGGTGTCCTAGCTCCTAGCAGTGGAGAGGACCACTTCTAGGCATTCCTAGCCCTGGGGCTTCCTCAACTGAGGGGTAGCTTAGTCCTTCACGGCTCTCAGATGATTTATCTTCCACGCATTTGTTGGATTGCTTCTGAAACCATGTATGGCACTTCTGTAGTCCCTGAGATCTCGTGACAACAAGTTCCATAAGGGGAGTCACTTCTTTGCCCAGGAGCAGAGCTTCTTGCCTTCGTGTTTGTCTTGAACCTGGAAACATCATTTGATGGCCCTTTCTTGCATCTTATGAGAAGCTGTGACTAGTTATTCTCCATGACCTTTCATGAATTTATAAAGCTGTACCATACTTCCTCTCGGACTCTTCTTTCCCACCTTGAAGAATCTTGATTTATGTAACTGCAACCCACATAACGTCATCCCATATCTTTGGTCTTCCTTTATACCTGTTCTCGCTCTACCATACCCTTTTTGAGATGGAGGGACCCGAGCACACAGTACTCATGGTAGGAGGTGAACCCAGTATTTAACTGATGACATCTCTCTTCCATTCCTAATAATTTCTAATAATCAATTGCTTTATAGTCACTAATGAGCTTTTAACTGACATCTGACTAGAACTACCTAATTCCAAGATAGCTGTCCTGGATGGTACTAGATGGTTCAGAGGCCATTGCTGAGACTGGGTAGTGAGGGGGTCTTCCTCCCAGTTCAGCCATGTGTTTTCCTCTGCTGTTACCAGCACTGTTTCACCTGCCATTTCATTGCCCAGCCTCATGAGAAGTTTTTGCAGCTCCTTGCAGGCAGTTTGCATTTCACTACCTTGAAGAAGCTGGTACCACCAGCAGTCCAAGCCTCTTCACCATTTGCCACCTGATCGATGGGTTAGCACTGGCCCTACTACAGATCCCTCTAAGATGTCATTGGTGACTTCACTGTGAAAAACATGATTTATCCTTACCTCGTCTCTCTATCCTATATGCAGTTGCTGACTCATGAGAGGATCTTCCCTCTTATCGCATGCCAGATTAGCTTCTTTTATGAGTTCTTGATGACAGATGTTATTAAAGGCCTTCCAGAAGCTGAGCAGATCATACCGAGCGGATTGCTCTAGTCCGTAGCCTCACTGTTTTCCTCTGAAGCCGTAAGAGGATGGTGAAGCACAGCTTCATATCTCCTCACTGCAAAGCTCTGCCGATTCTTCCCTCTTAGTCTGTATCTGCCCTTGCTACTATTCTATTATCACGGCTTTTACTATTTGCCTGCTACAGGTGTCAGATTTAGTGGTTTGCATTTCTCCAGATCCCTCATAGCACTTAAAAGTAAGTGGTGTCACGTGCCATCCTCTTTTTTTTCCTTTGGCTGTTTTAAGTAAAGGGTTATACACCAGCCTTAAGAGTGCAACAATTTCCCATTAGCGTTCCTTAAAAACCCATGAGCGAGTAACATCTGCTCCTCATGAATTTGTTACTACCCGTTACATCTATTTGTTCTAAACTGTCATCTAATGGCCCTTCAATCTGAGGCAGCTTCCCTGCATTATCCCCTTAACAAATGGCTCAGCCGTGGGAATTTCACTAAGCTTTTCTGTGCTGAACGCAGACACGAGTAATCTGTTTAGCTGTTGTGTTAGGGCTTGTTTTCTCTCAAACTCCGTTGCCACTCCTTTGCTGCATACCCTGGTCACCTGCAGACCCTCCAGCACGCTCCTTGCTCCTGCTGCGGTAGGGGAAGGTTTTTCTCTATTAGCAAGTTATTTCCTCAAAATCTTTTTTTAGTCTGCCTTTCTGTTTCTGCTTTTAATTTGACAGAGTTCGTGTCCTTTTCCATTTCCTCATTTGGACGGGATCTATTTCGGTTCTTTCCCATGTAATTTTTATCATGCTATTACAATGAGCCAGTAATAATCTTTCTTCTGGAAAGTCTCTGATATTTTAACACCCTTATATAAAAATCAAGCATTTTAGTCCCACATCTTATTCTGAGACTTACAGCAAATAGAAACAAGTGTACATTCAGCCTCATTGCTCCAGCTCCTGTGCCTTGTTGAAAGTGGCTTTATTTGTCCAGATTGTGCCTTGCCTTTTCCTGCTTACTTGTGGTTATAAAGATGTCAAAATGGCACCTTTAAGGACATGCCATCATGAACCCCTGCTCCTCTTTGCCTGCTCGCTTCCCCCATTCTCTAGCTTGAAATTCCTTTTTAAATCTTACTCTTTCTTGCAGGTGCTTTCTTCCCGGCTAAGGTCACACCACACAAAGGCTGAGCATCCTTACTCAGGAGCCTCAGCTTGTTGTTCCAGAGACTTTCAATTTGCCAAGAATATGTTCTAATATTTTGAGAATAATTGCACATCCTGCCATTATTTTTCTCCCTAGGCATGTAAAATTTAAATATTCTAAAATATATCCATAGATACATAGTGATGCTGCCCTGTGCCAACTATAGACCTACCCACAAAGGGGAGTCACAACGTTTTGATGCTGCAAGCAGGCTTGCTGACACTGACCAGCTAGTCTGTGGGCAGCTAGTCTGCCAAGATGAGTCCTTTCCTGCTTCGGCTGCCCAGCCTCGGGTGTCAGTCTCTGGCAATATCTCATCAGCCATCCCTGAGTTTCTGCTCCTCACCCAAGAGAAGCTGAAGCGAAGATATGGCCTGTGATAACTCTCCAGCTCCAGCTGAAGCTGAGCCAGCAGCTGAGGAATTTGCAAAACTCCTTTTTGATCCTAAATCTGTCCATGCTGTTGCATCAGCTCCATGGATTAACAGTGGAAGGTCATTAAACCTCCACAACTTTCCATGCTGATGAAAGACACCCTTAAAGAAAGACTTAGCTGTCACCTGTGCAAAGCATTTTATCCTTGTGCCGTTTCTTAAGCTCATGTGTGGCTGGACAAAAGTTAACCGGACCGTACTTGAGTTATTTCCTTCTTATCCGCATTTTCTGATCTACATTAAATAGGCACTCCTGGCAGATGGCAAC